AAAAATCTATTTTTTCTCCCCTTATTTCTATAGTAAATTAAAGACGCGGATCAAATGAATTAAATTGTTGTAGTAAAATATTAATTTTTGAAGGAGAAACTATAGTACAAATATCATCTACATATCTATAATAAAATAGAATATCCACTTTCAATGACATCAAGAACATCGTCCCTAATCTCCTCATAACTAGGTCCGCTATTATAGGTGATAAAGGAGAGCCTATGGGAGTGTCGAAGCTTTGCTTATAAATTTTATTGTCAAATGAAAAAAAGGTGGAATCTAAAACAAACCGTATCGCAAAAACTCATTCTTAGGCAAAGAGCATTCCTTGGAAATAAAACTCCATTGCTCACACAATCAATCGCTATATCTATTGGAACATTCGTGAAAAGTGAGATAACGTCCAAGGAAATTAATTTATATTCACCTATAATGTATAATCTTTTTAATTTGTCAACTAATTAGAAGTCATTTTTAATGTAACTATCCGCCTTAGGAATAGTCTTGAATAGTATATTGTGCAAATATGTAGCCAATGCATATAGCGGACTGCCTATCGATGAAACAATAAATCTGAGAGAACAATTCGGTTTGTGAATCTTCGGCAATTCATAGACTCTCGGAAATAATCCGTCACTGCAATATAACGTTTTATCCTTATTCCTTCTATTGTAGCCGCACTATTATAGTACATTAAATTAAACCCTAGTTTGTCAAATTAATAAAACCTCTCCTTGTATTTATTAGCTTTCTCGCGGTTGCACTTCGCCTTCTCTCTGGTCACTTGGATTAAGTTCCATGACCAAAAGCCAGGGCATACAGACGTACTGGCACATCTGGCGTTAAAGTGCGTCCTCTCAGCACACTGACCCAGTTTGGACCTTTTAAATTAAAAGTACGTCCGACTCGTACGTCCATTTAATGGAACATAAGTTGAAGTTTCCACTTCGTTCTCCATTCAATCCCCGGCTCATTAGGACGAAGCGAAATGCTTCCCGATTTGCGTCCTTCCCCACAGCTCCCTTGCTTGAGTCCGGAGCCTGGACACCGAATTATTAAACCAAATCGGTTGCGTTCAGCTCCATGCATGCGGAGTTTGGACGTAACAATGTTTTGCAACGGTCTATCGTAAGCTAGGAATTTTTGATAAAGAAAATTATAATTGAATAGCTTATTTGTATCTCTAAAATATTATTACTTAATCTTCCCTAGTAGAAAAATTTCGCTGAAGTTATTTCACGTTTTGGAATACTTTTCAGTAAAATTTCAGCATTTAAGAAAAATTTCAGTTTAATTTTTCAGTGATTTTTAGCTGAAAATTTCACTTTCAAAAAATTTTGGAAAAATTTCAATAAATATTTCGAAGAAATTCCAACAAAATTTCAGAGAAATTTCCGTTCAAATTTAACAATTTTTTAATATGTTAGTTAAAAAATTCACTTTCAGTACAATTTTCAGCAAATTTTCAGCAATTTCCAAAACGTAAAATAATTTCAGCGAATTTTTTTTACTACGGTTATTATAAATATTTTAGGTAATTGTCTAGAATTGTATCTTGTTCACCAATTTTGATGAAATTAAGTTTATTCGAAGCGTTTTTGCATGAAACAAAAGAATCTAGCAAAAAAAGTGTCGCTCAGCCCCGCGAACCGGGATATTAAGCATTAAAGTTCACAATTCAGGTTAGGAAATCTGTCACAGACACAAAATGAGATCTATAATTGTACTGTTTCACATGGGTTTTGACTTCTACACGAAGCGACTCTCACCTCTCCCCCCTTGTAAAAGGGCGCATGACTTCTATAATGAGTAGTTGTTAAAGTTAGAAAATCTGTTATGTAGATAGTGGGGTATAGACTAGTGTATAGACTAGTGCTCGGCCGCGTAGCCGCCTCGAACAAAAAACAATAATATATCTTATCCACTTGGGGCCTAACTGCCTAGAAGTTGCAGCCTAGTTAGTAAAACTATCGCTCTAAAGACTTCTCACATCCCACTGTCTTCATGGGTTAGAAGTATTTCAAACGGTCACAGTCTAGGTTGCAACTTATATATGTACTTGACTGAACCTTGACGTCTTTCGAAGGAACTCTCATATAAAAACGTTTGTATTTCGTATGAAGAGTTTTGAAATGCAATTAAAAAGATTTGTGAGTCATTCTGTTAATTATAATTAATTATTTATTTTTTGACAATGTACTCAGCCGGAAAAATAAGCCAGAGGTAAATTAAACAAAGTTCTTGTATGGTATCGTTTGTATTTCGTATGAAGAGTTATGAAGTGCCATTGAAAAGATTTGTGAGTTATCGAAATAATTTTACTTAGGGTCGGTTGTTCCATCTTTTGGTAAATTTTATCTGTTGGATAAGTAGCAAGATTACCCAATCACATGCGTGGATTATCAAATTTACCTCACAGGTAAAATTTACCAAAAGATGGAACAACCCGCCTATAAATATTTAAAAATCGCGTAATTGACCGAAATACAGATTTCGGCACTACTCTTCTAAAAGTACTATCAGGAGTGTCAGGCGCGATCAGTAATCTAGTATTTCGATATTCCTGATTCTTTTTCGATCATAACAAAACAAGTATTTTTAACAGTTTTCGACATTGTGTCACAAATCCATTATTTTTGAACAGTATGTCCAATATAAAACTGTCATTTTTAAAAATTATATAATATATTTTTGCAATTATGCATGTATTTACTAACTGTGGAACATTCTAAGGAACAGTTAAATAGTAGCAAAACATGACCAGATGGCGAGAACATCAAATACTATATTTTGGCGATATTGTCCATTGTTGTCCATATATAGCGATCTAGCGGACGTGACTTTAGAGCATGACTGGCGAACAAGGGCGATAATAAAAGAAACTGACGGTAATTCGGATTAAATTTTTATTAATTCTTTCTGTATAAAGCTAATTTGCTTAAAAAAAAAACTATTGATACGCTGAATGTAATATATGTAGATATGACAAGTAATACATAAAAGATAAATTGTATTATATTATAGAATGATCCGGAGTTCAAAGAAAACACGAACTGGTTCCAGATGTTAACTGGTTCGGTTTGTGTACTTTTAGACTAAATCAGTTGCAAACTATTGAGAACAGCTATGACAAATCAGTGGAGCTATAACTATAGATCTTGATGAGAATGTTAATATGTGGTTACCAAATTCTACTGTCAATTTTATTCTAAAAGGTTTTTTTTTATAGAGGCACTGATTGTTACCACTATGAACTAAAATTTATTCTCTTATTAGCATAGTTAAAAGTATCAAATATAACTGAAAACGAGATATATCAGTTTCAAAATAATTTACATTTATTACATTTTCAATTATTGCTTTCAGTGCAGTTTTATGCAGAAAGAAGGATGAAATTCTCTCTCTCTTTCTCTCTCTTTTATTATTGGCATCTTTGACTCATTGTTGAATCTAACCAATCGATAATTTCATTCAATTTGATTTGAATAAAAGAAAGAACAAGCTACAATAAGCGTTGTGGTGTGGCGATGAATTTAAGATATATTATTTATTGATCAATTTTATTCTGGTTGTATTGTTATATCATTCACGTATTTCGTCACAATTACTGATAAGCTATTTATTGAGCTATTTTATGTTTTATCAATTATCTCAAACATTGTTTTAAACACATCACATTTTTGAAAAATAAACGCAATACTTTTCTTTTATAAGCATTAGTTTTATATAACATACGTAATCCTTATTTTTTAAAATATGAATTACATTTACTTATTATGCCCCTAGGCAGAGCAATTAATGATTTAACAAAGATTACAGAGAAATAAAAAAATTATTAAAGAAAAGTACAATTTGTTAGAACATTATTCTAAAATTTTTTTAACAAAATTCCACTTTATTACAACATTTTTTAATGAAATATAATTTTATTAAACGTTGTGTCAAAAAGATTTAAAAATGTCGAGAGAAAATATGAATTGCCTAATTACTCGAACTTAATTTGAAACAGCAAATGAATAAAAGATGTCAAAATGCTTGGATAACTGGTGGGTTAATGATAAATATAATAGACGAGAAATATTTTCTCTCGCAAGACAAATATGTATTTGAACTTGCTAGAACCATCAATAAATATTACAATTTCCAATGAAATCGATAATAATAATAATGAATCAACAAATTTTAATAATTTTTCATTTGATTCTACTTGTCAAAACTTCGTTTAATGTAATATTAACTGCAAATGAATGAGAACAAATTAAATCACTTTAATCAGAGATAAAATCAAAAAGATCTAATCACATATTAAGACCATGGATATGGACTAACGTTGTTACTGATGCATTTTATGAATGTAATATATGTAGATATGACAAGTAATACATAAAAGATAAATTGTATTACAGAACAATCCGAAGTTCCAAGAAAATGCGAATTGGTTCCTGATGTTAACCGATTTAATTGAGGAACGTCAGAACTATGAAGGACTAGAAATAAAAAATGAGCTGGACGAATAGATGAGGAAACGAGATCAACTGAGAAACGAGATATATTCGACTTTATAATATAATAAAGCCTTCATAATAGAGAAATACTAGTTCCGCGCAAAATATTTTCATCTTATTATTCAGTATGCATACACAATTTACGTAAACATGCGTTTGGATGAAGGATTTTCTTTATAAATAGCTTTCGTGTTTCTAGAAAAATATTTTTCTTTACGGGTCTTGTATCAAAAGGACACAGATGTCCATTCTTATCTCTAAACACTAAAAATAATCATTTTTTATTAATATATTTAACTTTGTACGTTTTTCTAACATTAAAATTGTTTTAGATAAGAGATATAAAAATTCACATAAAATAAGATACGGCATAATGTAATATATCACAAATTTATAATCTAACAAACGTTTTAAATTATTATTCTAACTGAAGATGACCTAATCTAAAATCAAAACGTTTATTATTTTCTGTATACGAGATTGTTCGAATAGATATTTGCACTTAGATTCTGTGTTGGTTTTTATATTCCTTTATTAATTATAATAGTTTTGACTTATGTTCCTGATGAACCATAAAACTTTTGTATTAATCTAACTTTAGAATTGTATAAGTAAAAAATAAATTTTTCAATTTTTTTTATTTTATTGTGAAATCGGATACACTCGGATTTCCTATTTATGCATATTTTAATTCTGTAAAAAATATTTTGCAATAAAATTAGAAAATTTTAGTTGTAATTCATGATAATTGCCGTCATTCCAGTATCCCTTTAAAATGATAAATAATTTAATCTAATATTCTTACTTAGTTCACATCAATTCTCGAGCATCTTTTTATGAATAACGGATGCCTTTGATCTAATAGATATGAATGATACCTCGCAACATTGGTCGCTCAGAAATAATTCTATAAGATCTGATGTTTCACCAAGTATGGTATCGATACTTCTACGAAGACGATTTGCATGAAATCGTTTTTCTCCATTTTTGATCTCCCACAAACACAACTTTACAAATTTGTAAAGGAAGTGTGGGATCTCTAGGCTCCAACAGAACATAATCATTTATTTCAATTTTTTTGTTTTCAACAGTAACCGATTTATATGTTTTTTGTGTACCAACAATTTTATTTTCTTCTTTCCATACAATATCTTTCTTAAATTCTTTAAAATCTTCATTTTTACTTTTTTGTACCATTTGATCTTCTACTAGACTTTCATTGTTCTTTATTTTTATATTGCTCTTCATCAGAATCATCTGCTTCCTCATAAACGAATACTTAACTAAATATTATAATATATAAATTTTCGAAAATCAGAAAAAATGTTAATCTATAATACTTTTAAAATAGTTTTACTTTTATATAATCAAGAGATAATTATAAATAAATAAATTTTTATACTCTAAAATTAAATTATACCTGAATTGTCAAATTTGGACATTTTCTTCTAATACGTACATACCTCCCTTATCTTCAAATTTCATCATATTCTTACAAGCAAGATAAATACCACACTTAAGTTGCTGACAGTTCTCACAAACACCACATCGCCTCCTTTTCAGAGGGCTAACAAAGAAAAGAACTAACAAAGAAAAGAAAATGTTTAATAATATAATACAACTAAAAAAAATATTAATTATTATATATAATGACATATACCTTGTTATTATTATTATTATGTTTAACAAGTTAACCGGCAAAAATATTTTCAACTATATTGTTAAGTAATTTTGTCGTCATTGACCAGGCTTTTAATTTTGCATCAAAAGTTAAAATGCCAGGCAGGCGTTTTAACTTTCGATGCACGTCTCAATAGATGAACAGCTGATTTCTTACCCAGCGTAACACCAGAAAGTTTCATAAAAGATCGCATACACGGAGCCGTATAATAAGAAGAGTATCTTCAGCACAATTATCTAATGACAAAACTCGATCACAAATAAATTGTGCATGTCATAACAATGTATCTTCTGTGAACGTCATCGTTTCCTTAGAAGGTACTATCCGTATCTATAATAGAAAAATATAGCAAAAACAATAAAACAAACAGAAAAAAATATCGAAGTACAAAATATACATTAAAATATAAAACAGCAAACTCACTTGAAGTTTATTTAGCAAGTCTTCATAGGTTGGATTAATTTCATCTAATAAAAATTTTATAACTAATTTACTCATATATATCTTCTCTTTAACAGCATTCATGAACGGTGTATAAGTTTCAGACGGTTCCATCAAACTATATTTCGCACATGCAGTACTAAAACCCATTAATACCAATTCTCCTTCGTCAAATCCAATAACATATCATTAATTTATTGGCTCCATATCTTTTGTCGATATACTTCCTTCAGGTGACAAATTTTCTTCAAAGCTTTCATATATGCAGAAAAATACAATAGTACGTTTTTCCTGTGACTCCTGCATCAAAAAGGCACAGATGTCCATTCATATCATAAACACTAAAAAAAATTATTTTTCTGTGTATTCAACTTATATATGCTTCTTTTAATATTAATATTCTTTAGCTAGTTTACTTTACAATAATTTTAAAAATAAACGTCACTTGTACTGTTTAGAAAGCTGTTTAAGCCTGTTCTACAATGTGCTTTTTGTTTCCTGTTTCTTGCTTTTTGCTATTTATTGTATCTTGTCTTTTTGCTTCTTATCCCGTTTTTCGTTTTCTGTTGCTCGAGACAAACGTTAACAAACTTCAAAAAAAATAGAAAACACATATCAAGAAATATAATTATTAATAAAACGATCACAAAGAGGAAAAAAGTAAAAGATAAAAAGCAAGAAACAGGAAACAAAGAGCAACCGTTAGAGATAAACCATTGTAGAACAATCATTGTAGAATAACCATTAGAGATAAAAGAAAATTCAACTCTAAAATGAGTTAATTTATTTTATCATCTCTCATCACTTTCGTCTATAAAAGATTAATTTCCAACAAATAAATACAATATAGGATAAGTTAAAGCTATCTATTCTTCTTCAATTGCATCATTTGGATGTTCTTAAAACAATTTTATATCAGTCAGTTTTTGTTTACAATATTTGCATTGCTCTATTACAACACATCTTTTTGTCTTGAGCTTTTAATTGAAACATTTTTTTATTTTCCGTTTTTATTCTCTTCTCTAGTTCTCTCTTATCACTTCTTGATTGTATCTCTTCTTGATGAATGTAAATTCATAAAATGTACATAATACAAAAAAAGACATGTTTATTAATCAAGATATATACAACAATGAATTATTCTATATATGTCATATTGTAATTTGTATTATCGGTGGATTTTTTATTCCTCAAATCTTATTGTTATTTTACAAATTTATTTTATTCTTAAAAACATGCTTTTATTTATATTTGTGTTTATTGTTATGCTACATACCTCGTATCCACATATATTTAATCACCTTCATGAATTATATAAATTGCAGCGAAAGAAATAACTGTCTCGTTTTGTGTACAAAATTTTACTTTATTACTTAAATCATTATATTGCCATAATCATGAAAGTCGTTTGCAATAAGCAATAAAATGATTTAGATAGTCTGCAATAACGTCTATCAGCCTGAAATAAAATAAAATTATAATTATAATTAAAAATAAAATTAAAATTATACATACGAGGTCTGTTCAAAAAGTATCGCGAATTTTGAATTTCCGCGGGTTACGTATATTCGATTTTCGATTTTTTTGTGGCGTTATGTTGGTACTCATGTCTCTCACTTATGCCGACAAGTTCGGCCATTTTGAATGTTCAGTTAATTTTTGACAGCTGCTTTGCTTGCACGTGTTTTGGCTCGTCTTCGATTTTTGCCTATTCCAAAAAATGGATCAAAGAATCTGTATCAAATTTTGTGTGAAAAACAAAATTAAGTGCGCGGACGCATTCCGAATGTTGACTGTGGCATATGGTGAAGCTACCTTGGACCGAAGCAACGTTTATCGGTGGTACAAAATGTTCTCAGAGGGCCGAGAAGATGTGAACGACGAAGAGCGTGCCGGACGCCCGAGCACGTCAACAACAGACGATAACATTGATGAAGTGAAGAAAATAGTATTGGCCAATCGGAACGGTCAATAAGGAATATTACCTGCAAGTTATGCGCAATTTGCGCGAAGCAATCCGCCAGAAACGCCCGGATTTGTGGAAGAACAAAAATTGGCTTTTGCACCATGATAACGCCCCTGCTCACACATCGTTGCTTGTGCGCGAATTTTTGACCAAAAACAACACACTAATGATGCCGCAGCCACCGTATTCCCCAGATCTGGCCCCCTGTGACTTTTTCTTGTTCCCGAAACTGAAGAGGCCCATGAAAGGACGACGCTACGCTACGATTGAGGAGATAAAGACGGCATCGAAGGAGGAGCTGAACAAGATCACAAAAAATAATTTTTTGAAGTGCTTCGAGGATTGGAAAAAACGTTGGCACAAGTGTATAATATCTGATGGGGATTACTTTGAAGGGGACAAAATAGATATTCATGAATAAATAAATAATTTTTGAAAAAACACAAAATTCGCAATACTTTTTGAACAGACCTCGTATATAAATATTTATATATATAATATATATACATATATTGAGAGTATAAATAAGTTTCCGCCGTTTGACAAACAATGGCGCTACCAGTATGTTATAGTTAAAATTGTCAGCTGTAAAACGTCATATCATAAGGTTGGACATCTGGACGAAACGATTACTGGGGCTCTCTACCGAACACAATTGATGAGATTGAGCCGAGCACTCAAGGAAAAACGCGTCCACTACTACTCCAGATACAACAAAGTTATTCTTCTGCATGATAATGCTCGTCCACATATTGCGACGCCGGTCAAAACCTACTTGGAAACACTCAATTGGGAAGTTTTACCCCATCTGCCGTATTCACCAGACATTGCTCCTTCTGATTACTACCTGTTTCGATCGATGGCGCATGACCTGTCTGAGCAACACTTCACATCATATGAAGATACCAAAAATTGGGTCGATTC